AATGTGAAAACCCCTAACTATGAACTAATATCATAGACAAGTTGAAAAATCTTGGTTGTCTGATAAGCCTTAAAGTCCACTTCTAGCACATCCACCTTGACTTTTTCCTAAAAATTTCGGTGATGCGAGTGAGGGAAAGGGGAATATTTTTATAAGGACATAAAAGAGATGGAGAACCGATACCAGGGGCGGTGAAATGTTAACATGATGGGTGATGGCTGTTGGTCGCTTACGCAGGGAACATCAACCCCCCCCCCCATACGTGCATTCACCTTGTCGTGGTGGGGGGGCTCAGTAGTGCCCAACAATATAGCCGGGCGCGAAGCCAAGAAACGCACAGGGAGGTGGCCCACTTCGGTGGGCGGTGGGAGTGGTCCTCTTTGGAGGCCAGTGTTCCATGCGGGTTGCTCCTGGTACTTCTCTGATAGCAGAGTGGACCTTGGAGCAACCCCGTGGTTGTTGTGGTCTGCTTTGGTAGACCTGCCGTCGGGGCGTCGTAGTTGAACGCGTAAGCGATCCTGCGACGCCCCATTAAGACGGGGGAAGGCTTTGTTGGGTTTTAGTGGGTAGTACTGGCTTTGCCGGTGAGTCCCACACCTCGTGCGTAAATGCATTTCCCAACGTTAACATCAAAATGTATCGCATCGGAGCTATGTAAGAAACTTTACAGAAAAAAGGAAGGAAATACAAAAAAATTACCATATAATATTCGCATTTTAGTAATTTAAATATTGTAAGTTAATAGAGGACACGTTTGGCTCAGTTTGTAGTGACCCTACTTGCTGCGCCAGCGGTAGCGGGTTCGAGTCCCGCTGATTGCATTCATTTGTGTGATGAGCACGAATGTTTGTACTCCAGTCATGGTTGTTTATATTTACAATATGTATGTATTTAAAGTTATATATTGTACAATGTATCAACTTTCTGGTATCCATAAGACAAGCCTCGTAGCTTACCATGGAACTAGATGGTATTGTGTTATAAATTTTATATATCAAATTTTCCCTATTTTTTGAAATATATATAATCGATGTCATATTGTGAAAAAAATGTGGGTGATAAAAAAATATTGATACCAAATAAGTTTTCAGCACCCAAAAGTACATAATATAGAGAAGAAATCAAACTAGTTTAAAAAGTTTTTACAAACATTATTTTTGTTGGCCTGCATGTTATCAGTAAATAAATATTTAGGTAAACAAATAAAACAAGCGTAAACTTTCAAATTTGTTTTAATCAATAATTTAAAGCTGACAGGAGACATTTTTGTTGTAACGAGAGCGCATTACCGCAGTGCGCGCAAACATAATACAGGTCGCGTTCCGTGAACAGAAATTTATTTCATCACCACATCGAAACCAAAATGGCGGCATCACATGCCTAAAAAACCACGTATCAAACATCAGACATGATTGCCATCGGCACCGACCAGAGTCCTCACTAAAATATCAAAATAAAAAAAACCTTATTCATCCTGTTACTTGTTCGAAATAAGGCATAGGGCGAAAGGGACCGCTAACGATTGTTTGAAACGTTGAGCCGATATAACATTTTGATTGGACGGCAAACTCTACTCTATTGTCCATATTGTATTCAAATAAATTGACACAATTCAGCTCAGGTTGCGATCGAATGTCGAGGGGGCTTTAAAATACTTTAAAAAAAACGGGAATATCTAACACAAATGCTCCTCACTTGTGCGAATTCCAAAATATCTTCACAAATTCGCGTTAGAACGACGGAGATCAACCGAAAACGTCCATCTTCAATGTATACTTGAACATGGAGACGTGCGACTACGAATCATCATACTTTATAATCAAACTATAGTTTCGATTAAATATAAATGAAATAATTACCAAATCGTACATACGACAACAACCATTTGGTAACACATCAATTATTTCAACCATACAACCACAATTCAATTATAAACGAACAAATCATTCAATTACAGATTCGTAGCCGATCACCCTCTTACCTACTACTCTAACGTAAATATTTCTCCTCGTAAATGACGTAACAAAAACGCATACGTGCACACAACCGTATTCACTCATTTCTCTCATACAAACATACACACATCCATACATCATGTCAACCAAGTTCGTCATTGAACAACCATGTTATTTAAATCCCTTGTTATGTTTGGGTTATACCAAGTCCGAGTGGGGGTGAGTGGGGAGCTCTTGGAGGGGTTGAAAAGAAAAACGTCACGGCCGAATCGAGAAGCCTATAAATCTAAACTACACTTTCAATATCATCTACAACAAAATACACCAAACTGACCCCTCCACAGCTTCTACTTTGTAAATATCGTGTCATATAAAATACAATATAAATTCTCATTATTATATCGCATCATTTTCACTTTAGAACAATATTTCCCAAGGCAACCGATATTCGAATCAGCTAAACACCAAATTTGCTTTATCAAATACTCCATTTTGAAGATATTTATAATAAATAGTATTGCTATATCATACCTAGTATCATAGCTCGTGTAGTGTATCTGTTGTTTATTTCATTGTTTTTGGTCGAGCTACAATACTGGGCTTACATAAAATTGATTTGTTTTAAACGTTTGTCAGTAACATTAAATCTATTTTGATCAAACTAGCCCTAAATGACTAAGTTATATATACCATTTTCGTTTTTTTTTTTAGAAAAGCCGTAATCAAAGCTTTACAATATAAATGCATACAGGAGTTAGCTTATGTTGGTTATTAAGACACATTATTTACTTCAAATATAAGGTACATTTGATGGTACATATATATTATAAACCATAGAGGAACGGACTCAATGTGTGAATGAGAAAAGTAATATTACTAATTGTCTCTAAAATAGAATAAATAAAAGAAAATTATGATTGGTTTTTATGTTTTGTTTGGTTACTGGCATGCAGAAAAGAGACACATTTGTCTTTATCTCCTACAAAGCGGCCATTTTGTGAAGCTTAAATAAGTCCATTCCTATATGTTCCTTTATAAATAACATGCCTTTTACATTTTCTTAACATTTTTTTTAATACAGATAAAACAATATATAATTAAATAAATACTTTCAACATCTAACGTCAAAGATCCAAAAAAAAATAACATTGGGAAAGATGGCAGTGTTTGATGAAAAGATATCTTTATTATAGCCTCTTTGATAATACATACATACTTTTTTTTAATTATTTTTTTAATTTTAAGGCAATGATTGCAAGCTTGAATCCTGTTACGTCATTTTATTTTTCAATCAGGTACGAAATAGTTGTGTAGATGTCGAGTAATGAAACATTAAAAAATTTTTACTGGCAATATTTTAACATTATGCATGTAGATCGTAAGACATAATTGACTAATATTAAATAGCATCGCCGCATGATTCGCTGTATTCACTCATATTTAATATAATCACTGGTTATCACAATTAATATTGCTTTCACATTATCAATGTATGTATATCTTATTTACTATTTCCTAAAATGATAAACTGAGTTTCATTAAGAATTGGTATATATGTATCTATGTTACATGTCAGTATGCCTTGAAAGAAGTATGAACCGTATTACTCATAAAAATCCCTCTGCCCTCAAGACATGCATATACTTTCAGATTTTGGTGTTTTTGTTGTTTTTGTTCATATTTTTATCTATAATCTACATTTCAAAAAGTATAATCACACTGAGTGTTTCCAATTGCCTTTAAAAATCACAACCTTTTGTAATAACAAACAAACATTCAAGTGAAATTATTTGATATGATACTTGTTTAAAGCAATTTTCATTGTTATTTGATATAGATTGTGAGAAACTGGTGACAATAACTGCGATGTGAATGGGTAAAGTCCTAAAAGTACAGATTGAGATACACTGCAAGATAAGCTTTTAATGATATAAAGATTAAAGTTTATTCGGTTGAAAATATCAAAGTTAATAACGCATTTTTCAGTTGAACACTACAGGAGAAAGGTTGGTTTGGATCTGTATAAACCTTTGATACACGACGTCTTCTAAAAAGGTGATGACACATAGACATTTGAGAGAATTTTGCTTGACCACATTTGATTATTTAAAATTTTGTTATTTAAATCTCCCCATCAGTCAAATCCGGATATATATAGGCAGATTACATTTCTACATGCACTTCATTTCATTCATTCCTTATATATATATGTCAGTCATCATACCCGCTTATACATATCCAGAGCAAGTAATACACGTAAGGCTGCGCTTGTAGAGTAGAAATTTTATATATATTACTCATTATTTCTCTTACAATTTCCAAACCAATGTGTCACAGACAATCGTCAAGAGCAGTTCGTATAAGATTCAGTTACGCAAATTTTATATGAGATATTCTAGATGCACTCACAATATTTGATATTTGCATGCCAGTCATAGTATCCGGATATATATATCCAGATCGAGCTTAAAACAATTCAGTTGCGTTGACGCCGCGCAAATGAAAGGTTTTCCGCTATCTTGTACATACATTAATTTCTCAATCATAATTCACAGTATCCTATCCTAACGTCCATGTCAGTCATCCTATCCGGATATATATATCCAGATCGAGCTGTAAAAATTTTAGTCGCGCTGACGCCGTGTCCGCTCTCTTATACGCTCTAATTTTCCAATCATTTTGCACAGTACCTAATGTCCATGTCAGTCATCCTACCCGTGTATATACATTCAAATCGAGCTTTAAACAATATAGTTGCGCAGGCGCCGCACAGATGAGGGGTTATTCACTTCCTTACACGCACTAATTTTCCAATCATTTTCCACAGTACCTAATGTCCATAGTAGCAACCTGTTGTCCATGCCAGTCATCCTATCCGGGTATATATATCCAGATTGAGCTTTAAATAATTTAGTTGCGCCGGCGCCGCGCACGCGAGAGGTTGTCCGCTCCCGCGTATAACGCACTAATTTTCCACAATATCTAATGTCAATGTCAGTCGTCATATCCGGGTATATATATCCAGAGCGGGTCGTGCAGGGCTCAGTTGCGCACGGGTGGCGCGGGCGAGTGGTGGTGCCGCTCAAGGTCCTCCAGGGAAAGCGCGTTGGGCACGTGCACGGAGGGCAGCTTGCCGGCGGAAGCGCGCGCGAGCAGCTCGGGGGAGAACCAGCGGGCGAGTTGGTTGTCGCCACCGCCGGTGCCGCCGCCCATTTCTGAAATTAACAATACGTTTATAATTTCATATCAACACAAGACCAAATATGTACTTATCTTGGTTTCTAGCCTTGTTTAAAAATAGTGTTTGGAAAATATTAGCTTTTGCATAGTTTGTGTATATATTGCTCTGCTCCTAAGCATTCGTTGTGTAATTAAATAACCTATGAACTTATCAGTTTACAATACTAGTAACCAAAAAAATATCCACTTTACATTTATATTTTCAAAAAATATCGGCATCTTTAAGGATAACCTTAGCACTCACCATTGAAAGTTCTTTGATGTGACTGTACCAACAGCTGATGTAGGGTGGTGCCGGCGCCGCGGGACATGCCGCCCACACCGCCCATGCTATTCAACTGCAATCAAACAAATATATAAAATATGTATAGATGAAGCCAAAATAAAAAATAGAAACTATAATATTTTAAGATCTTGTTAATAATGTATCAAAGATCGTTTTTAAACTAATCCCCAATGTTTGGAATCTTTTTTTTAGTAAACTAATAATAACGGAAATATAACCTAATTTGTGCAAAAATATGTATATACTCGTATATGACTTGCACAAAAAATTATAATTGTATGAAAATTGAAAATCTTAATAAAATCTAATTTTACGAATATAATTCATTAGTCATTATTACAACTTACCGAAGTAGGTTGCTGTCTCTGCTGCTGATGAGGAAAGGCTCGATTAGCATTTGCCATCTGTCACAAAGATGAAAAATATAAATAATTCAGTTGATAATATTAAAGCAAACACATGCCTTATGTATATATAATATTAACAAAATTGTACATACGTTTTAATATTATTATAATAGTATAAAAATATCTATAACATATGAAAATATATAGGTTTAATAAAATAAAATATTTCAATAACAATTGAATATTCAACTTGAATATTCTGTACTAACCTGTTGGTTGAACAAATGCTGTTGGTATTCAGATTGTCCGGGTGCGAATCCCATTTGTCCGGGGCCGCTTTGAGTTCCTTGCTGAAGAGTCGTACATAAAATTACAATTTGGTTTATAACAAAACAGGTATTCCCCACACCACATAGCCACATGTAAATTAAAATCATAGCGCATTATTATAGCCTATTTTTAATTGTATGTATTTTTAACTATATATTTATAACTGAATACATATTGCATAGATTTTAGACATAGACAGAGCACCACGTAGTTCCATGGTAAGCTACGTGGCTTGTGTTATGGATACCGGATAGTTGATACACTACACTATATATAACTTCAAAAACATAAATGTTATAAATATAAAACACCCATGACTGGAGTACAAATATTTGTACTCATCACAAAAAAGAATGTCCCAGCGAGACTCGAACCCGCGAGCTGATCTCGGCGTATATTTCTGTGAAGTGGAGTATAATTCATTTTAATAACAAATGCATCGTTTTTGTTCCAAAAAGTTATTTATTATTTACTTAATTAAACATACTAGCGGGCACATTTTAATAGGCACCCTGGTCAAAACATATTGTCCCTTTTATTAAAAAAATGATTTCTATTAAATACGCTATAAACGTAGCAATCTTGCAGCCGGATATCGATCCATACAACAGACATTACTAATTTTTAAAGCAACAGTTATGATATCAATACTATATACGGAGTGAATATAATGTATTTATATAATTACTATATGTTATAAATTAAATCTAATGCAACATTGCGTTTGTTTTTGTTCAGGCCAATCTCAGAAAATATTGTACAGATTTTCATATAACTTTCACAAATAGGAAGTGACATTGTCTCGAAGGGTATAAATTATTAATTTTTAAAGATTTCGAAAATAAGCGACCGATATGATGATATCTCGTAGCCTTAGTGCTTTTTTGTTCAGATGACGATCTGAAGCCGAAAAAAAAACAATCGAGTATTGAAGCTAAGTAAAATTGCAAGTGTGGAGGTCATCTAAAGTCAATAGTATTAAGAAAAAAAAGAGAAAAGAGTATGTTTGTTACCTTAACTATAGGCCTGCCATGCGGCTTCGCGTGCGCCGGGAGCGAGTGCGCGGGCGGCGCCCACGACGACTTGGGGCTGCCGGCCTCCTCCTTCTCGGCTGTCATTTTACGCAGTACCTGAATAAAGTTGTTTGTATATGTTAAATTAAGTTGTTAAATTAAGTTAAATAATATATATGTTGAATTAAGAAGGTATATAGATTTTGCCCGCAACTTTGCTACTTTTTTCAAGTACCACTTAAATTTGTTAAGCACTCCTAGCGTGATAAACATTCATTCAACAAATTTTCACATTTACAATATTAGTGGTATTAATACTTTCTTCAATAACTCTCAAACCTTACGCGAATAACATCGATTCCTCCCACAAAAGAAATGTTGCGATTAAATCTATTTACAATTAACCAGCGACTCACTCTCGCTTCGCTCGGGTTCGTCCCTAGCTTGCTTCCCATTACAAACATTAATTCCCATTTTCACCCCCTTAAGGGATGATTTCCGGGATAAAAAGTATCCTATGTCCTTCACAGGGTTTCAAACAATCTTCTTACCAAATTTCATCTAAATCGGATGAGTAAATCCAGAAATTACCCCCTAAAACGTCACAAACTTACAAATTTTACTTTTTTATAATATTAGTATAGATTATAATAAGCTCGATAAATTATTAATATCTTTATTATTATTCCGTTACACTGAGTAGTGTAACTTCTCCATCATGCCATTCCTAACTTAGATTTATATTTCAACCCAAAAAAACAACACGATGAGCCTTAAAGGCTTTCGATTGGTCGTTTTTAAACACAAAGTGCGACAAGGACAGCGTCACTCACAGATGTGGGTGTGAAAGAGATGGGTGTAGGTTGTTTCGGCTGCTGCACCTCGTGCCGCCTGCGGTAGTTCTCCCGCTGCTCCTCCAGCTTCTTCTTGATGAGAGCACCCTGCATTATGGACTGCGTGTGCGCTACGAGCTCGCGCGGCGACGGGATGCGCGCGGGCACGCCTGGGAAATAAATCATTTTTTTTTTATAATACACGACACAAAAGGTAAATAATAATAGGAATACTTATTGTTTTTTAGAAAAAAATATATATATATATTTATTGTTATTTATTATCTAAGCTATCAGAAAGATTGTATTAGTGGCGTACATAAACTATTAAATAAATATATAATAACTTTTTTTTTAATAATAATATTTACTGCTACAAATCTATAAAGTTATTTATCTAATTAAAAGTATAAATAAACAAAATCTTGAGATTAATTAATTATTTGTATGTATTTTTAAATCCAGCTGACCAGACAGACCTTATCCTGTGAAGACTTTAATAAATTTATTTATGATGAGTTTATATAAAAATCCCATAGAAAAATATTTACAGTTTTTTCCAATTTTCTTGACTTTCCGGACAACTTTTCAAATTTTTATCCCTCAAATTCCTATGCCAGATTATTAGGAACATTTAAAAAACAAATGAGCAATATCAGTATAGGCATTTTAAAATGATGAACGATGAACAGCGATTAATTTTCACCGACTTCCACAAAGAAAGACGTTATAAGTAAAGCTAGTATTTATTTATATAGATTAAAGAAAAAAAACAAAACACTATATACAACGAGCATTCTACCTGGATGGTGCACTGTGAGGGTGTTGGGACTGGTCGCCATGATGGGCGACACGCAAAACGCTGCGTCCGGATAATTAATTGTATGGTGATATTAGTACTACTCACTAGCTTTATTACATGTTACTTTACAAAAATATATTAAATGTTAATTGTTATGTCAATGTTAAGTAAAAATGTTCCATAAAATTAAATACAAATACATATATATATATCTTAATTTCTATTAGTTGGAACGTTTTTCCATAACAATTAATATAAATTTTTACATATTATTTTGGTTAGTTTCATAGCATACAATAAAAAAAACGTATTTTATTTATATATTATAAAGTAATAAATATTGTACTGAAATTATGACGACACGTTTGGCTTAGTTTGTAATGAACCTACTTGCTGTGCCAGCGGGCGCGGGCTCGAGTCCCGCTAGGGGCATTCTTTGTGTGATGAGCACGAATGTTTGTACTTCAGTCATAGATGTTTATATTTATAATAGGTATGTATTTAAAGTAATAATATATGTATCAACTGTCTAGTATACATAACACAAGCCTCGTAGCTTAACATGGAACTAGATGGTGCTGTGTGTTAATGTCCCAACATAATTATTACCTGGATGAGGTAATGGCGAAAGTCTGAGCGGTTGGTGGTGTGGAGGCACCACTAGATGCGCGGGAGGAACGCCCGTGGGTAGGGGAGAACCGCCCATTTGCTGTAAAGAAATAGATTAAAATTTAAAAGAAATAAAAGTAAGAATTTAAAAAAAAATAACAGACTTCTAGGCAATAAAAAATAACTAAACGGGGGTTTTCATTTAGAATAGATACATAATCAGATATTTTCGAAGTCGGTGTGCTTTGATTTGTATCGGCTGGCTTGTATTTAAATAAATATATAAATAAATAAAAATGTAGACGTTTAAATAGCATCAAAAATAGTCCAATTATAATATCTGGCTAACCACAACATTACCTTTGCCCTTAAAATAAATAAGACGTAAATAAAAACAATACACCCACCTGTCTCTGTTGATGAGTGCGCAGTATGGTGAGCAGCAGCTCCCGGTGACGGCTCTGCAGGCCAGGGTTGCCGAGCTGCTGCATCAGGTTCTGTACTGTGATCTCGCCTGCTTTCAATCCTGAATAAACATATTTATTTTGTAAAAACTCAATAATAACATTAATACACAATATTAAATATTTAAAAGAAACTAACTTTTATAAATATAACTAGCAGAACCCGCGGCTTCGGTCGCGCTAAAACTGTAAAAAATCTCTAAAAAGGAAGTTTCATATAAACTTTCATCCCCATAAACGATGAATTTCGAAAAATCCTAAAACACATATTTATTTAATTTTATTGAAGAGCATTAATACCAAGTACCAAGTAATTCCGATCATAAATATTTTTTGGATTGTATTATAACGTGTTTTCCCGTGGGAATTAAATAATCTCTCTTAAATTAAATAAAAAATCTACATAAATAAACATTCCATATCAGTGATATCAGATGATAATACATTAATCTATACATATAATAAAATTGTAACTATGCCGAATCTGTACATTAAATATTTTTTTGGAAAATCTTATTTAAATAAACATTATTATCGATACAGAGGCCAAATCTATAGTTTTTAGGATTTTTGTCTGTCTGTCTGTCTGTTACCACATCACAGAAAACTCACATGAGGGATTGTGATAAAATTTGGTATGGTGATAGCTAGTTATCCGGGTCAACATATAGGATACTTTTTACAGCGGAAAAACGTCTCATTTCTGAGAAAAAATACAAAAACTGCTATGTAAGAGTATATATAGTAATATGTAAAACCTAAAAAATACAAAAACTGCTATGTAAGAGTATATATAGTAATATGTAAAACCTAAGAATTTGGTTTTTGGTCATCTGAACTGCTATGCTATGCAATCTTAGTATTATATATTTCTATAATAAAATACATGCAGTATATAATACTTGTGTATAATACTACCGTGTATAATAGCTTGAGCCTCGGGTCGCTGCAGCAAGTCCCTGTCGGAAGGTTGCGCCATCGAGCCCATACCTCCCATTCCACATTCACCTGCAGCTTGTTGGCGCTAGAACAAAACATATATATGTTTACAATAACATATTTTTTATTATAGATCTTATCATACTTTTCTTACATTTACGTGAATATTTGACATTTTAAATAAAACTATCTTTTCGGATTTTTTCACCGATTTATTTTGTGTTTTGATTTTTGGTTCCCGACGTTTCGAATGCTTTACAGCAATCATGGTGACTAAGATTTTAGACGTCTCAAAGGCATTATATAGTTGTTACAGACAGCCTACCAACAAAATAAGAAAATGAATTTAAAATTTAGTGTCATTTGGTGCCATTTTTCATCTAAAACATCTAAAACCTTAGTTTCTCCCGTTACCATGATTGCTGTTTCATTCGAAACGTCGGGAACCAAAAATCTAAATAAATCCGCGAAAAAAACCGAAAAGATAGTTTTATTTAAAATAGTACTTATGATATTTTTTTAAATTAAGCTGAATATAAAAACCATGGTATCCTTTCAAAATATAAAAGAAATAAACATTACAAAAAAAAGGAAAATATTGTGCTATTTTTTACAAAGTAGATACTCAATTCCAATGTATTTTCAATATTTTTAAAAACAATAATCATTACAATTATTAACACCTCCAGGTAAATTTCTAAGAAATTAATTAAAAATTCTAAGAAATCTATTGTTAACTGGCACGCCGACGGAATAAAAGAACAATCCATACATACCTGCTGCACCTGCAGGAGCTTGTATAGGAGTTCCTGCGGGATGTGCGGCGCCTTCTGCTGCTGCTGCTGTTGTTGTTGTTGTTGCTGCTGGTGTTGTTGTTGCTGGTGTTGTTGTTGCTGCTGTTGTTGCTGCTGCTGTTGTTGTTGTTGTTGTTGCTGTTGTTCCATGCTCTTGCTCAACATCTGAATAAAGTTGGAATTAAGGTTAGAAAATATTATGCTGGTACAGATAGATATACAAATAGCACTACCGTAACACATAATTATTCATATATATTCTTTGTACACATATATTTCACTATGGTGGACGCATTATGGGCAAGCTTTACTATAACTCTACAAATTGATATATGGAACATTTAATAAATGTTCCATATATAATAAACAGGCCGAAACCGAAATTTCCGATTAACCGAAAAAAAAACAAAGATTTCATCCCGTATATCACAACTCTCTGTAAAAGGAATGCAGCTAACTTCATCATGTCGCTTATTGGCTGTCGGTGTGCGCGCGCATCGTAAAAATTTTACTCTTATATTTTCTTCCAAACGTCCCAAAATAAGTATAACTTCAATAACAACCTGTAGTAAGCTCATAGGCTGAGGCTGCGGTTGCGGCTGCGGAGGTTGCGGAGGTTGCGGCCGCGGCGGCTCTGCCGTAACCGCATGCCCCCCAGACACTTGCGCCAACTGGAAAATATTTACATTTAATTATTTGTATTCAACCCTTTTTAACGTCGCATTACCGTGCACAATTCTCCCTTCAATACAAGAGAGATCAGGCTATAGCCCATCACTCTGGCTGTTTTCCTTCATCGTAAGACGAACATGCACATGAAATAACAGAGGTGCGACACCCGGGATTTGACCCACTGCCTACATTCAATTATTTAATACTAGCGAGTTATCCTCGCTTTGCTCGGGTACAACCCTAGGGGTCTTTTGTCATACGTCATACGTTTTATTACTTTATTTGAAACGTGTTAAGTCAGCGTATAATAAAGCACCTGGAAAATAAACCATTTTTATCTTGGTAATATTAAAAGCAAACTATGAGTGAAAGAACATTCAAAGCAGTAGTTTAAGAGATTAATTACCCTACATACAAACTTTACTTATTTATAATATTAATGTAGACTAACGAATTTCCCTTACTCGGTCGCAACCCTAGGGTTGTACCTAGTACTTGATAATAACCCATGTGTTACTCCAGGTCTTAATATGTCTGTGTACTTTTCATGCAAATTCATCCAGCTGTTCCAGCGTGAAGGAGTAACAAACATACCAATTTTCACATTTATAATAGCCCAATTAGTGTTTACCAGAAGGGTGCGTTATGTTATGATATTAGATAGCCTATAAGTTTCTTTAAAAATCTAATATATAAATATCACGTTCACGGTGTTTGTGATCGCACTCCTCCGAAACGGCTCGATCGATTTTAATGGATTTCTTGTATATTTGGTAGGTATGAGAATCCCCCAAACCCCTCATTTTTTAATCGCGATTATAGTATTTTTGTACATAAAGCCAAAGAGTTTTTTTTTGTAGATTGAACGCGGGCGTAGCCATGTGTTCTGCTAGTAAGCTATAAAGTACAAAAATATTTTTTTCGAATCGGATAGTTCGTTCCAGATTAAAATATACACATTTTTATTTTTATATATAATACTAGCGGCTCACCCTCGCTTCGCTTCGGGCTCGTCTCTAAACACAAACAAAACTATCCCACGGGAACCGTACATTTTTTCCGGGATGATATATAGCCTATTCACTTCCACAATAAATGAGCTACCTAATGCAAAAAGAATTTTTCAAATCGGATTAGTAGTTCCTGAGATTAGCGCGTTCAAACAAACAAACAAACAAACAAACAAACTAACTGCCTCTTTATAATATTAAATTATATTTGCATAGAACAATAAAACAAATCAATCTCACAAGTCGTTTGAAGGCAGACAGGTCGTGGTCGTGCGCGGGCGGCGGCTGCGGCCTCAGTCGCGCCTCTAACTCTTCTAGACTGTGTATCTTTCCACCCATCGAGTTGATTTCCGCTAAAAAGTAAGAAAAAAATATATTATATAAATACTAATTGACGCCCACGGATGTGTTCTTTACCAAGAAATACTACGGATGTGTACATATTTTTTTATATGTTTCTGTAAAGGCAGGTAAGACTAACTATCCCCGAAAGTGTGTTTACATGGTCATGGTGGGGGGATAGATCTTAATAGTCCGACAATCCAACTGGGTGTGAAGCATTTGAAGAGATATCCTCGTTGGGCTCTGGGAGGTATACCATGAAGGTTGCTTCTGGTACTGTTCTAATATCAAAGTAGGTTGTAAGAGCAACCATGTGGTTGTTGTGTAGGGGATATCAGGACGGTATAAACTGACTCGGCAGATCAGATGTCAGGGTGGCGTGGTCGAGTCCATAAATGACCCTGCGCACGTTCTAAGATAAAGGTTCTATTAGGTTTTAGTGGGTGGGTTTTAACCGCTTCTGCATAGGTAAAAAATTCTGTAAAAAAAGTCTACCTTTTTTTAACGTTGGTCGACTGGTTATAACCAACCAAGTAAACATCTTATTAAGATAAAATTATAAAGTCTTTTCCAGATATTATCTCGGATTTATTTTAATGTTGAAAACTCCGAAAAGATTAGTTTTATTAAAAATGTCAAATATTCGCGTTAATCTAAGAAAGTGTTATGTACATATATCTATATACATACTATAATAAAATTATATCCATACATATAATAATACTGTAACTAAGTCGAATCTGTACAGTAAATATTTTTTGGAAAATCTTATTCAAATAAACATTATTATCGATAGAGGCCGAATCTATAGTTTTTAGAATTTTTGTCTGTCTGTCCGTCTGTTACCGCATCACAGAAAAAACCACTGGAGGGATTTTGGTGAAATTTGGAATGGTGATAGCTGGTTATCCGGGTCAACATATAGGATTTTTTACCGCGGGAAAATGTCTCATTTCTGAGAAAAAATATAACAACTGCGATGTAAGAGTATACTAATATGTAAAACCTAAGAGTTTGGTTTTGGTCATCTGACCGCGGGCGGAGCCGCGGGCAATGCTAGTATTTCTATACATATTACTCAAGCACTTGTATTACTTTACTCTTATACTACGTACTATATGATTGTACAAGATGCATACCAGAGCGCTGTTCGGCGTCCGCGCCGGCGCGCCGCAGCAGGTCCAGCAGCGAGGGCGGCGTGGGCGCGGCGCGGCCCGGCGGGTACGCCGGCTCCGGCGCGGGCGGCTCGCGGGTTGAACTGTCTAAATCTGTTCATTTTAAATACTAATATTATAAAGAGGTAAAGTTTGTGAGTTTGTGACGTTGTAGGGGGTAATCTCTGGATCTACTGAACCGATTTAGATGAAATTTGGTAAGAAGATAGCTTGAGACCCTGGGAAGGACATAGGATACTTTTCATCCCGGAAATCATCCCTTAAGGGAGTGAAAATGGGGATGAAATTTTGTATTGTAAAGTTAGCTAGGTGCGAATCCGAGTGAAGCGAGGGTGAGTCGCTAGTTTTCAATATTTTATTATTATAAATTATAGAATATCATAATACAAGATGGAGTTAGCTGAAAGCGATAAGATGAAGTTAGCTGCAGTTCTTTAACAAACAAAGAGTTAAGACATATGGAATGACATATTTAGCTATTTTTGTTCTGTTACGCCAAAGTATAACATCTTACGTGGGTACATAAATACACACACACACACGTTTCTTTATTAATATATCTATATGTACATATGTATGTATATAAATTTTAATAATAAAGCTTTGTTTTTAAAATAGAAGAAAAAACAATAAGAATTGGTCGTTTGAATAAATAAGTACTCAGGCGACATAATGTTAATGCAATAACATTTTTTTGCACAATAGGCATAACAAGTCGTGGAATAAAACAATGTCAACACATTGATTAATGATAATAATTGATACCATATTGTTCGTGCAGTCTATAGCGGCAGGTGATTAAAAAAAGCAGTAGTTTGGAGAAGTGAATAGTGGTGACTTCAATTTTAATACTAATATTCTTTTAAATCTCTTCACTTACAAGACTTATTATAGTAGCACAAGTGCACTCGTTTAATCCGTGGAACGACAACTCGAAACTATCATTGAGAAAAAAAAACATAGAACTAAGCTTAAGATACTGCCCGGTGTACGAGGGAGTTGACACCACTGACTTTCCAACTGTGGATTGTACTGTGAGAATTTCTGCCCGACCCGAGACTCGAACCCAGGGCAACCTTTAGACCGAGATAATCATTACGGACGGTACGGTACGGTAACACGGTAACGTTACACTGACCGTCGATCATGTTGTGCATGAGCCTCTCGTAGTGGCGGTCGGTGGCGGAGGGCGCAGGCGGGCTGTCTCGCCGGAACCAGCGGCTGAACCGGCTACCCTCCGTCTCGCTGCCGCCGTTCTGCAAACAATTGAATTACTATTGATTTCAACTTACATTATTTGTTTCAAATTGTATTTCAATTGTAGTTATGTATTTCAATTATAATATATAATGTGTTTGTAAGAAATAAACTATTATTATAAAAATTAAAAAATATTATAGATAAATCCATACTAATATTATAAATGTGAAAGTGTGTTTGTTTGTTTGTCTTCCTTTCACGTCGAAACGGAGTGACGGATTGGCGTGATTTTTTGTGTGGAGATAGTTGGAGGGCTGGTGAGTTACATAGGCTACATTTTATTAAAATAAATATTAATTAAAGAAATACGTGTTTTAGCATTTTTCGAAATTCATCCCATAAGAGGATAAAATAGGGGATGAAAGTTTGTATAAAACCTATCTTTTTAGTTTTATTTGTTGTTTTAGCGCGAACGGAGCCACAGGTTCTGCTAGTATTATTATAAATGCGAAAGTTTATATGTGCGTATGTCTGTTACTGCTTCAAACTGTAACAGATGGATGGTATTGGATAAAATTTAGCTCAAAGATAAGCAACCAGTACAATCTGAAGTGACACAAAGGTTACTGATAGGACCCTCCAGATGTACCACAGCGAAGCTTAGTTATAATTTTAGAACTAAAACATTAATGTATGAAATTCTTCGAAACAATTAAATGAGCGCAAATTGGTTTTACTGGTAACTATTAAAAAGCAGATAAAAAATTATTTAACTGTTAGAAGAACATCAACAACAACATACGACTGTCAGAACTACTTCGTTCTGTACTCGTGAACAGTGTTCCAGCACAGAGTAAAAAAATCTTTAAACCGAACATAATATAATTTTTGCCTTTTTATTGTTACCTCTAGAAAAACAATTTAATATATTGGAAGGAGGTAAAAAAAACGACTCACAGTAAGGACATCAGGTATTGAGTCAAATTTGAGGAACTCGTCCAGATTGAAGTCAGGCTGCTCCGGTGGCTGCGGCTGCTCCTCAGTTTTCAACTCCACACCTGAATCCTTATCCTAAGAAAGTTTACAATTTCAATACATTATAAAATTGAACTAATCTTTCTTTATATAGAATAATTATATTCTGTATATGTGTATATTACTGAACTCCTCCTTAACGGCTGGACCGATTTTAATGAATTTTTTGTGAGTGTTTAGAGGTTCCCTGGATCGTTTAGATTCACAACTGGACCCGGTAAGTGGTGCTGCAGTCGGGTTGTAGGAATTCTGATTTTGTTACTAGCTGACCCGACAGACGTCTTGTCCGAACATTTAAATAACTTCTTTGTACATGTAAATATCTCGATTTTAATACTTCGTATCTGCCTCATAGTATTTATTTTATTATCGATATCAATTGTATCACCTAAACGAAAAGCTGACGTACTGACAGCACAATGTCTCTCGAGTCCGATAGTATATTTTAGAAAATAAATCCTCTCTTTATGTTTATTATTCATATATATATATATATATATATATATATATATATATATATATATATATATATATATATATATATATATATATATATATATATACTAGCGGCTCACCCTCGCTTCGCTCGGGTTCACCTTTAGAAAAGCACAAACAGATCTATCCCACGGGAACCGTTCATTTTTACGGGATAAAAATAAGTAACCTGTTGTTTGACCTGCAATATAAGGTATCAGCATGCCAAATTTTACTAAATTAGGTGCATAAGTTGTTGTGTACTGAGCTGTATAAGTTACTATAAATTTTTAACTATCCCACGGGAACTCTTTAATTTTCCGGGATGAAAAGTATCTAAGATGTTGCCCGGGTATATAAGGTACCGCCATGCAAAATTTCATTTAAATAATAGATCCGGAGATTAGCCCGTACAAAGAGAAAAACAGACAAACAGCTCGCTCGGGTTCGTCCATACCTACGAATATGTCGTATTATCTCTTTAACCATTTGTCCAAATTATATGCAGTAAAAGGGAAAAGTCTTTTATTTGAAACATTTTAGACGATAAATTTACTTATTTTGATAAGAATTCATAATTGTTGATAATATGACCAATAAACATGACCTACCGATTTAAATGATTTTTTTAATATAAAAAACTACTTTTTGTGACTTAAATATAAAAGTTAGACATATGCTGTCGGTGACTTTTTTGTAGGCATTATTAAGCTCTACAACTTTTCTCTAGAACATAATTATATATCTCTCATCGTTAAGGCAGCGTTCGTAAGAAACGTTTTCGTTCGACCGTTTTTTCTCCGACTTACTTTGCAAATGCGACTACCACGAAAAAACCTTTTCATTTTTCGGGTTAATATATAGTCTATGACACTCAGAAAGAACGTGGCTTTCTATTGGTAAAAGAATTTTGAAAATCGGTTCAGTAGATCCAGAGATTACCCCCTACAACGTCACAAACTCACAAACTCACAAGATCACAAACTTTACCTCTTTATAATATTAGTATATATATATATATATATATATATATATATATATATATATGTCTATATATATATATATATATGTCTATATATATATATATATATATCTATATATATATATATATATATATATAACTTTTATTTAAATGAGTCCAGTGTTCTATATAGAATGCTTACATTGCTGTTATTGAGCGAGTCCGCGTGCGGCGGTGGTGAGGGCTCGGCGCGCCAGCGCTCCGGCGATCTCGACCCGCCATTGTTGTTCCACTTCTGAACATATACAAACACAAACATTTTTATTTGCACAGCATTTACTTGATTTAAAAAATCATGAGTACAACAAATTGTAGTCAAATTAATATGCAGCAGAGATATGCCGCCTTTTTGAGATTCTGGGTTCGATGTCGGTTGGTCCAAGTACAGCATGGGAGGTTCCGTTGGGTTTTAGTGGTTAAAAAAACAATATGGCTTTGCCAAAAAAAAAAAGTAAAGTTTATAACTCTCCAGAAATTCTCAGTAGTAAGCAAGGCAAAAGTTTCAAAAAATAAGAATTCATTTTTATTTATGTTTTCTGTCCTTGTAACGTACATTAACTAAATAAAAAAGATAGGTTTCATCATCTCTTAACAAAATTAAATAAATTAAATTTTTCGAGTCAGCGATTGAAACATGGATAAAAAAAATATGCAAAGCGACTTTACTTAAAACATATTTTTTTCAATACAACTTGTTATATACATTGAAATAAAAATTGTCTAAAAAAATATGAAAAATTTCAAAAAATCTAACAAACTAAAAAATAAAATACTCTACAAAACCCTTAGCGGGAGGGTTTAGTACATATTGGTTAAAACACGAATGAATTATGAACATATCACAATATGTACCTCATTCTCCTTATTACTAGTGGGTCCGTTCTTCTTGATGGGCTCGTCGAACCCCCGCAACTCGATCGTCTCCAACTGAGATGTAGGCCCTCCACTAAACCTATATGGATAATTATACTTAATGTATTTAATAGGGAATAAAGGAAAGAAGAAAAAATATTACTACGTATTATTATTAAATATGATTATATACGCATGTATGTATGTATTCAGCCCGTTTTAACGTCCAAATGCTTAGCGCGCGCCTCCCTTCAATACGAGGGGGATCAGGCCGTAGTCCACCACGCTGGCCAAGTGCGGCTTGGTGGACTACACATGTCTTTCGAAAACTTGCTAGGTTTTCTTTGATACGCAGGTTTCCTCACGATGTTTTCCTTCACCGTAAGACAAGTGGTAATCATGTTGGAAATGACTTGCACATGATCAGAGATCGGGGTTTGAACCTGCTTCATTCGGTTTCTCAAGTTAGCTCGTTACCACTGGACTACCACTGCCTAGTATACCATACCATAGGCAATGATAACATTGGCAAATGTTTAAACAAAAGAAACTGAAAAATAATGTGTTTAATGTAAATCTCGACCGTTCCAAACAATTTAAAAGAATTGTTAAAGTGTTAAAAAAGATTATAATTACCATTCTGGTTCATCTTCCTTCTCAAATCTTCGTTGAGAGAAGCGACCACCAGATCTACGGTTATCCTCCCTGTAACAATATATCGTATTAGTTTATAACACCTATAACTATACCTTTGATATTATAAATATAAAATTGTAAAATATAAAAACTTGCGATTCACCCTCGCTTCGTTTCGGGATCGTCCTTAGACATAAACAAATCTATCCATTCATCAGTCCATTTTTCCGGGATAAAAAGTAACCTATTCCAGACTATAATCTATCTATGTGCCAAATTTCATCCAGAACCGTTCAGCCGTTCTGGCGTGAAAGAGTAACAAACATCCATCCATCCTCACAAACTTTCACATTTATAATACTAGTTTGGATTTGTATCGACATTATTTATATATTATATATTTATCGCGAAACTAAGAAATTTAATATCTCCGAATTCTCCAAAAATACCAAAGCAGCCTTCTTAATGAGAAATCGAACATATTTACAAAAAATATACGAACCTATCACGTTGTTTTTCGTTGTTAAATCGGTCGTCCCGTTCCCTCTTGATGTCAGAGGTGTAGGAGTCTCGGTCTCTGAACGAGCGACGGTCGAACCTGCACAAAATATAATATATTAATAAATAAATAATCATAATAATACAGCCCTTTTTTTAAATCTCATCAGGGGAGGGAAATTAGGTCATAGTCCAGCTCGCTGGCTAAGTGCAGGTTGAGAGACCAAAATGTAAACATACAAATAATATTGACATACCACTTTTGGTTTCGGAGCGTTTTGAAAACTATTTATACTAACTTAAAATTAATTTGAGAAAAAAATAAAACTAAATGTGAGACATGTAGCCGATTTGAGGCTCCTTTAATGTCTGAATACATACTCGGCCGGCGGATGCCGGGTGGGTCGACCAGACGCTGAGTTTGCGTCTCTCATAATCTAAGTAAATCTTAATCTAGAGCGGATGGACGAGGTGTAACCATAACTTACCGCATACGAATCTTAATAATGCTTTCTTTTATATAGACATTCACATATTGAAAATAACAATTTGCAACTTTGAAATTTATATCCAAAAATCTTAATTCGAAATTAAAAAATCTTATGTCGAAAATTTCTCAAACATTTTCGCACCATAACAGTGGCATTTTAAATTCTAGCGACTCACCCTATACCTTACCCGATACGTTTTAACGGTTAGTGTAGATTTCTCCGAGATGAGATATTTTCCCGCAGTAAAAAGTACGATATGTTGACCCGTACAACCAGCTATCATCATATCTTAAAATCTGTCGTGGTTTTCTCTTGATGCAGTCACAGACAGACAGACAGACAAAAAATCTAAAAACTATATATTCGGCCTCTGTATCGATTAATGACTATTTTATTAAGATTTTCCAAAAAATATTTAATGTACAGATTCGACTCAATTAGAATTTTATTATATGTACCTATAGATAAAAAATATTAGCGACTTACACGACTCACTCGTCCCTAGGTTGCTTCCCCATACAAACTTTCATCCCATTTTTGCCATCTTAAGGAATGATTTCTGGGATAAAAACTATCGGGATAAAAACGATCGTATGCTCTCCCCAGAGTCTCAACTATCTTCTTACCATATTTTATCTAAAACGGTTCAGTAGTTTCGGAGCCTATTCGGTACATGCAAACAAACAAAAAATCTCTTAATAATATTAGTATAGATTTCTATAACTGTAATTTTATATGAGTGCACGCTGAACGAATCTCATACAGTGTTTTTGGATTGAATCAACTAATTAAAATGATTTAATCTGATAAGTATCGACATTAGCTAAACAAAATTTGATACATTTTGAGATAATATGCTCAGCCAAATGCATTTATTTAGGTACACATAATATGTAAATACGAAACATGGTCATGTTTGTACTCACCCCCCATTAGTGCGTCGGTCCTCACGCTCACGCTCGCGGTCGCGGTCGCGTTCGCGCGGCGGGCGGTACGGCTCGTTGCGCACTTCACGCGTGTCGCGACTGTCGCGACTGTCGCGAGTGTCGCGCGTGTCACGAGTGTCGCGCGTGTCGCGAGTGTCGCGCTTGTCGTGCTCCGCCTCCTCCCAGCCGGCGGCGGGCACGTCGCGCACCATGATGCGACCGGACCCGATGCGTCTGCCCGCTGTGGGGAGTGTGATAATTAGAATATTGAAATTACTAGAGACTCACCCTCATTTCGCTCGGGTTCGTCCCTAGGTACGTTTTAATTTTTTTGAGCGGAACCCTAATTCTTTTTCTAAAATAAAAGTAGCCTTTATTACTTCCTATAACATCAGCTATCTTCCAGTGAGTGTCCCGTCACAATCAGTCCAGTCGTTTCAGAGATTATCCGGAACAAACAGACAGACAGACAAAAATTTAAATAAATGTATTTTTCTTTTAAGTACCGTATACAATTTCATATGCATTTAGTAAAATGTTATTTTGACATTACAAACAGACCCTTTAATTTTATTTATCTGTATATAGAGGTCCCATCAGACCTTATTTCGGTCACGGCGAGCAATCTTCAATTCAATTATTTTGTTTCGTGATTTCTAGAAATGTCATTACGGTACAATTTACTTCGCCAATGTCACATAGAATGGAGAAGACACGTTATATGTAGGATAAAAACCGGTAAAAAAGAAGAAAAAGCACTCCATCTGATTAGCGACCAATCTTTCAGAGACATTACTAGACATGAGTGTACAACATACTTATGACGCAGACACTATCGCACTCTATAATCTATATATATATATATATATATATATATATATATATATATATAACTAAGCCGAATCTGTACATTAAATATTTTTTGGAAAATCTTATTGAAATAAACATTATTTTCGATACAGAGGCCGAATCTATAGTTTTTAGATTTTTTGTCTGTCTGTTTACTACCGCATCATAGAAAAACCACTGGAGGGATTTTGATGAAATTTGGTATGGTGATAGCTGGTTATCCGAGTCAACATATAGGATACTTTTTACCGCGATAAAATATCTCATTTCTGCAAAAAATTACAAAAACTGCAATGTAAGAGTATACTAATATGTAAGACCTAAGAATTTGGTTTTTTATCATCTGAACGCAGGCGGAGCCGCGGGCAATGCTAGTTCTTTATATTCATGTCTGTAGGCAGCAATATACAATACGATGTTTAATCTTAAAACATGCATCACCTGTGTCTGCCGTTTCTTATGTGTTTATATAGGCCGTATTAAATAAAACATTTACTTATGGAAAGTAAATCTTTATAAAATTAAAATTCTAATACGGCCAAACAAACAATACTAAAACATTTTACATTATACACTTAATCGCCCAGGTGCTACTAGGCAATAGGACGCAGATTTTGTTCACAATTTTATGGGTTTATTTTTATTGCGCGGAACCCAATTCTTTTTCTAAAATAAAAGTAGCCTAAGTTCCTCCTTATAACATCAGCTATCTACTAGTGAGTCCCATCAAAATCGATCTAGCCGTTTCGGAGACTAGCCGGAACAGAAAGACAGATACAAATTTTTAAAATTGTTTTTTTTTTCTCTTATAATTATAATAAGTACCGTAAATTTTGCATATGTATATATAAAAAAACTGTTACTTTGACGTTACAAACAGACAGTTTATCTATTTACGAATAGATATAGAAGTTGTGGCTCACCCTGCTCAGTCTTCTGTATGGGCTGGTGCGAGAGCGGCGATTCGGGCCGCGTGCGCGCCAGGTGCGGCGGCGGCGCGGCGGCGGCGGCGGGCGCGCCGCAGCCCGACGTGAACGAGCGCCGCTGCGGCGACAGCACGATGCCCGTGCTCGGCTCGCTCTCCTTGCGAACGCGCTCGCGCGGGTCCGCCGAGCGGCGCTCACGTTCGCGCTCGCGGTCGCGACCGTACACTCCCTGACGGTCGAAAGTTATCTTACAGTAGACAGTGGTGTATGCAGCCCTTTTTTACGTCCCACTGCTGGGCACGGGCCTCCCTTCAACACGAGAGGTATCTGGCCGTAGTCCACCATGCTGGCCAGACAGTGGTACCCCAGTGGTAACGCGATCGCTTGGGAAATCGAGTGAAGTACAAATCCCGAGTCTCGCACCTAATGATATTTTCATGTGCGAATCATTTCCAACATGATTAACACTTGTCTTATGGTGAAGGAAAACATCATGAGAAAACCTGCATGTCTGAGAGAAACTAGCAAGTTTTCGAAAGACATGTGAAGTACACCAACTCACACTTGGCTAGCGTGGTAGACTAATGCCCCTAGTATTGAATGAAGGCCCGCCTCCAGCCGTGGAACGTTAAAGAAGGGCTGAATACAATTTTACAGCGTATCAATGCAATTTGCGCATTTAGTAATTTATTAATGTACTAGCGACTCACCCTCGCTTCGCTCGGGTTCATCCCTAGCTCGATTCCCAATACAAACTTTCATCCCTATTTTCACCCCCTTAAGGGACGATTTCCGGCATAAAAAATATCCTATATCCTTCCCAGAGTCTCAAACTATCTCCTGACCAAATTTCATCTAAATCGGTTCAGTAGGTCCAGAGATTACCCACTACAACGTCACAAACTCACAAACTTTACCTCTTTATAATATTAGTATAGATATCAACAAAATCAAATGGATATGTGTATGTAATAATTTGATTATGAATTATTTGCTAGTATAGCAACTTTGAGCCTTCTGCAGTTTAGTATGAAAGTGGGTAGTGGGGAGTCTAAATGTATAAGATTATTTTAAAGAAATAAAAAAAGGAAACTTTTGAAGACTTAATATAGTTACTTGTTTTGTTTATTTAAATATGCTTAAACAAGCATTTTTATATTAATTAGTATGGTAAATTCGATTAGTTAAACATTTTATTTTAACATTACTATGAGTCAATTTTATCAGCTTAAATGGAAAGTAAGACGCAAAAAACTGATTATTTTGATATATTGCAAAATATCTTTCGTTTTATCTTTTTAGTTTTTAATGTACTACTACTTAGTTTACTATATTTTTTACATATTTCTTGATATATTGCGATATATGAATTTACTAAACTAAAAACTTCTTAGATTAATTTAAACTTAGATTAAACGATAAGACGAGTAACAATAAGATAGTATCTTGGAATTGTTTACAACTTAATATAATATTTAATTACGCTCTTCATCTATACATAAAATAAAATTGTAACTAAACCGAATCTGTACATTCAATATTTTTTTGAAAATCTTATTGAAATAAACATTATTATCGATACAGAGGCCGAATCTATGGGTTTTAGAATTTTTGTCTATCTGTCTGTTATCGCATCACAGAAAAACCACTGGAGGGATTTTAATGAAATTTTATATGATGATAGCTGGTTATCCGGGTCAACATATAGGATACTTTTTATCGGCGGGAAAATATCTTATTTTTAAGAAAAAATACAAAAACTGTAATGTAAGAGTGTACTAATCTGTAAAACCTAAGAATTTGGTTTTTGGTCATCTAAACGCGGGCGGAGCCGCGAGAAATGCTAGTTTTAAATAATAATTATATTTACAATATAATAATTTAAAAACTACAAGAAATACATTACTTTATGGTTTTCATTTGGCGTATCTCCTTTAGCTCCCTTATCTTCTTCGTTGGGTGAATCGGAACGTCTCTTTAAAACACTGAAAAAAGAATAATTGACAGGTTAATAACATTGTATAGACACCTGAGTTAGAAGAAAAGCTACAATTTCTAGAATTTTATTACGGTGTCTGTTAGACACAAAGACCATAAAAAATATTATTTGATCGCAAACTTTAAAAACGACTAAACACATTTTAGTAAAACTTTTCACTTTATTTCAATTCGTGACTTGACCTCTTAGTTCTACACGCTTTAAATAAAAACGCCAATGGAGCAAACAGAAATAATTACTAATAATATTATAATAATGTGGGTAATTCGTTTGAGCAAACTAAGTTACAGAGGACAATGCACATCCTATACTAGTGCATATCAATCCGCCTACGCACGAACTTATGACCTTTAATACTCGCAGGCAGCAAGCGGGTTTCATAGGTATCTATAAATAAATACGCTTCCGGGAATCACCTATCGATCCAATATTGCACTGTCAATGAATGAATAGAGAGAAACAGCAAATATTTAAAAAAAATTTTTTTACTAGATTTTCATTTACCTGAATCACATCAAGGCAACACGAAAGTAACATCACATCAGAACAACAAGTGAGACTCACAATTCTATCACATCCTCAATATCTGCAACCGCTTCAAGGTCGTCCGGGCAAAAACATTGCAAATCCGTTAAGCTGTCGTCTGCTGCGATGTTTTTATTCAACATATTGTTTAATAGTTTCTAGAAAAAGTGTATTATGTATATATTATGTTTTTAAAGGTATATAGACTCACAGTGCGAGCGTCTCGTTGCCCGCGAACGCGTTCTCCAGCCCGCGTTTGACGAGTGGTGAATTACGCAAACGCATGAGCTCGTCGCGCGTGTAGGTGAGTGGGCGTCGCGCGGGGCCCACCGCCAGCACCGCCGGGTCCCCGCCCCCGCCCGCTCCACCGCTTTCTTCGTGACCTGCACAATTTGTTTTATTTTTATTTATTGTTTACTGTTTTCGCCGGCTGTAGCTGCGGCGTCAATACAATTGCCTATATCTAGTAGAATCTATACAAAATAAAATAAAAATGTTCGGACATTAACACACAGCACAATCTAGTTCCATGGTAAGCTACGAGGCCTGTGTTATGGATACCAGATAGTTGACACACTACATATATAACTTTAAATACATTCATATTATAAATAAATATATGTATGTATAGGGTATACAATTTCATTCAAATCCGCCAAATTTAACGTAAAGGACTAACAAATATACAAGCCTATATATATAAACTTTCACATTTATAATAATAGTGCGATCGTGATTAATATTTAATTGGCAAGTTTGTTCTCAAGAGAAACCGTGGGTTCAATCATCGCACGAAACCAAATGTTTAACTTTTAACCAAACAATTTTTCATCACCGCTCATTTAAAGCGAAGTTTGTTTGAGAGCCGTCACCCAACACGCATTGGTAAAATACAGACATTCACGACACTACACCATCTATACATATAATAAAATTCTAACTAAGCCGAATCTGTACATTAAATATTTTTTGAAAATTCTTATTGAAATAGTCATTATTATCTATACAGAGGCCGAATCTATAGTTTTTAGAATGTTTGTCTGTCTGTCTGTCTGTTACCGCATCACCAGGAAACTACTGGATAGATTTTGATGAAATTTGATATAGTGATAGCTGGTCATCCGGGTCAACACATAGGATACTTTTTACCGCGAAAAGTCTCAATTCTGAGAAAAAAATCAAAAACTGCAATGTAAGAGTATACTAATATGTAAAACCTAAGAATTTGGTTTTTGGTCATCTGAACGCGGGCGGAGCCGCGGGTAATGCTAGTAAAGATATATATTACTGTCATTCACATAAATATTTATACCTATTTAAGTAGTTATCTCTGAAGAGGAGGTATAATTAACTAAAAGCATTGCGCGCAAAGGAAAGGTAAACAAGAATCTATATTTACTTATATAAAAGAGAAAGGTCACTCTTCCCTCACTGAATAAGCTCGAAGTCTCGAAAACTTTAGTTTAAAGGTAGAAGACGTTAGCTACAAACGGATACGGAAGTCCAAAAAGCTTCCACTAAATTTATATGAAAGTTCTATGTTTTAGTAAGAGACATCATAATATCTATACATATAATAAAATGGTAACTGAGCCGAATCTGTACATTAAATATTTTTCGCAAAATCTTATTGAAATAAACATCATTATCGATACAGAGGCCGAATCTATAGTTTTTAGAATTTTTGTCTGTTACCGGATCACAGAAAAACCACTGGAGGGATTTTGATGAAATTTGGTACGGTGACAGCTGGTTATCCGGGTCAACATATAGGATACTTTTTACCGCGGGAGAATGTCTCATTTCTGAGAAAAAATACAAAAACTGCAATGTAAGAGATTACTAATATGTAAAACCTAAGAATTTGGTTTTTGATCATCTGAACGCAGGCGGAGCCGCGGGCAATGCTAGTGTTTGATATAAAGTTTAGTTATTCTGGTTACACATAAATCAATTGCGCAGACGAAGCCGCGGGGTACGGTACTTATTATTATTTACAACATCGATTTTAGCTTTAGAGGACGCAAGCACATTCAGAGGTCATCAAAATGCCAGGAGCAATGCAGCGTAAATAAACGTTTAATTTTGCTTTGCAAAGTAAAATGTTAACGTTAAATTTCAAACTACGATTATTTAATTAATATAAAATTTTAATTTATTTATCATTATAAACCCATAATAATAAATAAATTAAAATTTTATTACTTAGGAGACTTATTTTTAGGGTTCCGTAGCCAATAGACTAACTCCGTTAACCCGTAAAACCTTGTACAGTCCGTCGGTCCGCATGTCACTGCAAATTAACTCTAAGGATAATTGCATAGATCTATCTACATTGCTTTTTTTATTTTAGTTAATGAATTTTCATATCTTTAACACGTAGATAGTAAGTACATACCTATATCTTTCAGTCAAACCGAGACCACGAACTGATATAGGTTAGCAATAAATATTTGGGCAGTTACAAATAAAATACTTTTACATATTACTATTATAAGCATTTAACTGTATATGACGAAACATTTTTTAGACTGAAAATCTGTTCCTGCGCTTACTTCAAAAGTATTTCTAGGTTTCTTCAAGAAATTACACCAATAATAAATAATCTCAGCGATATTTGTTAACAAATATATTTTTTATTTCACTATCTGAACAATGATAATGTTCCAAATTCCTACAATTCCATTTTATTAGTAAGCATTTTAAAACGAAAGTGCTATAATTCTAAAGAAAATGTAATTAAATGAGCCATTCTTGTATATAATATGTATATTATATTTCGTGTATCTCGAAAACGGCTGTAACGATTAAGATGTAATTTTGTATGTGGATAAGGTTTTGCTTTTTAAGTTTATCTATATAGGCGTCTTTATTGAAAATCTTTTCATATCTTTTCCAAAAAAAAAAAAACGCGGAGCGAATCTCGGCCACCCAAGTACCTACCTACCTACCTACAAAAAAAAATTGACATTCTAAAGCATGTCATTTATCATATACTTTTATATATTTCTTTATTGTTTAAAAAAACAAGTAAAAAATTAAAAACAGATATAATTAAAAAAAGAGTATGATGGCACTGAAGCTAATGTAACTATTTAGAGAATAGCTCACTTACGCCACGACACACGCTTCACCCTTTTCGATGGCGGGCCGGCGTGCACCTTGGGCGGCAGCTGTGTCGGAACCTTTCTCAACGCACTTTGGTACTTCAGTAGGAAAGCGTGCACTGCGCATTTAACTGGCGATGAAATTTTCTCTACTGGCGTCACAATACCCATAGCGGCCAACTTCCTTTCGCGGCGCTTAGACGCGCGGCTGCCTGCCCTGCGCCGCCTTCTGCGACCTTTCTTCGTCACTTCACTAACAACGTCTTTGCTCACCATTTCGAAACCGGTGACGCGGCACAACAAAATGGCGCTTATAAAACTAACCTAACACTACACAAAAATATATTATAACCGTAATAAAAAATATTTAATAATTATTTAATTATATTAAATAAAACAGAAAAATTAAACTAAAATCTTAAAACTATGGTTGTCAGAGAGACGAAACGACGCGCGATTCTACGTATAAACAAGACAGCCAGTGTCCTAAACTACGTAGCAGGTGCTATACGCGTAGAGATGTAAATGTAGGTATTGCAATTAGAAAAGAAATAAAACTTAAAGTTTTCAGAAACATCTATCGCGAGGTCGCGCAGCGAACGGTCACGTCTCAAAGACTGAGCGGGCACAGTAGCGACCGTTGCTAAAGTCAACATAACTACCCTCAAGTAATTCACAAATTATTCTATGCGATTCCAATGTTTCAAAGATACCCTAAAATGAAATGTTAAAGTGAGTATATTACATTTCCCATCGTAATAATGTCATCTTATAGTTATTTTAATTTTAATATTTTAATCTATATCTATAATAAAATTGTAACTAAGTCGAATCTGTACATTAAATATTTTTTGGAAAATCTAATTGAAATAGACATTATTATCGATACAGAGTCCGAATCTATAGTTTTTAGAATTTTTGTCTGTCTGTCTGTTACAGCATCACGGAAAAACCACTGGAGGGATTTCGATGAAATTTCGTATGATGATAGCTGTTTATCCGGGTCAACATATAGGATACTTTTTACCGCAGAAAAATATCTTATTTCTGAGAAAAAATACAAAAACCGCAATGTAAGAGTATACTAACATGAAAACTTAAGAATTTGGTTTTATGTCATCTGAACGCGGGCGGAGCCGCAGGCAATGCTAGTATTTTAATATGATTAAATATTTTATATGCACTATGGAACGAAAAAGAGTTTAGGTTACTTTTTCATATGAAAATTTCAAGTCCAAACTAATAGAGTTAGACTTTACTCTCAATAGCTCCCAATAGCTCCCGCTTTCAAAATAAATAATTTAGAAGATCAATTAGAAAAGTAAGTTTCTAAAACGTGCTCGAATACGTTAAAAAATGTATACCTACCTACTATACGGACAAATTTATTGATAATATTATTATATTTATATTAATATCAATATATAACATAAAAAATATTGTTAGCCTACGAGTACCTACATAGGTACACAAGCGGCACAAGTTTAGTATTAGGGACGCGGCCCCTGGCGGAGTGGGTGGTATTTCTGGATAGGGGACGTGATAGGGAGTCCAAAAAAATTATTTTAAGGAAACAAAAGAGTCAAAAGTTATTGAGACTTAAAAGTTACAACATTTCCATACATTTTCATACATTTCTTTACCACCATTCGGAGTGGGTGGTAGTTTTAGATAGGGTGATAGAGAGTCAAAATATATTAAAAATATTTTGAGGAAACGTACGAGTAAAAAGTTATTGAGACTTAAAGTTATAACATATCTAACACATTTCCATACATTTCTTTACCTAAATAAGTGATTACAACAGATAAATATACCTTTAATAATACATAATACTGCTATTATGTAATTTGTTTAAGAGTATATATGTATATAATAGATATGGTAGAAGCCTTGTTACATGAAAATGTAGGCATCCACCGTTCATTGGGAAAGGGTGAAACTTACTTTAATGAAATAAGTTTATTGAAGCGTAATATTCATCAAATGTTATCAGAGCTGTCTTTGAAGGGTTCGCGAGACCCGTTCCTTGAATAGAATTAGAACTGAAGCCTTACTTATTTTTGGCCTCTGAAAATAATAATCGTTTTCTTCATTTAATTCACACGTTTAAATTGAGTAAAATCGCAAAATATTAACATGACGTCTATACAGATAAATAAAATTGAAGTGTCTGTTTGTAATGTCAAAATAACAGCTTTTTACTAAATGCATATGAAAATATAGGTATACGGTACTAATAAGAAAAACAATTTTTAAAATTTTTGTCTGTCTAT